AAAACGTTGGCAAGCCAGCCTCGCGGCTTTTAATCTTTCCACGTAATCCCGAGATAATCCGAAAGAACGATCGCTCCACCGATAAATATTCCATATCGATGGCGATTCGCCGTTCCGGCTTGCCGCCTAGGCGAAATAATTTTCCATTCGATCGAGATACTTGGGGTAAACGAGCTGCCGCTGTAACGCGTCCTATCGCGTAGCAAGACGGAACGCCGACCATCCGTTTAACAGTCGCTCTTTCTCCGTTTAACGGCGGCGAGTCGTTTCTCTTGCAACGACGTACGATAAGCTTTTTATCGGAGACGCGAAAGCGATGTACTCTGCCGGCTTGTTTCACCCCTTTGCTCGACTGTCTTTTTTCTTTTCTTTTCTTTCTGCTCGTATGATAAATTATGCCGATAAATATGTCGGGGAGAAAGGTCGGGGAATCGAGGCGCGAGAAGAGGGAGGAAATTTTCACGAGGTATTTGGATTAAAAAGCGGCGGCAACCAACAGGTTGCGATGCGCCGATAAGACCTCGAACGATTCCCAGCCGGAGTCACCGGTTCCGGTCTTTGCATCTATGTACATACGCAACGGCTTCGTTAGAAAGTCGCCGTCGATCCCGTTGTCCGTCGATTTCGATAAAAGCGTTATCCCGGAGCGAACGCGAGATTCCGAGACCCTGGCAGATCGTTGGAGCCTACGCTCCGCAGAGTTTCAACGCGAACAAAGTATATTTTTCGAACGAAACGGTGACGAACGATTCGTTTGCTGGACGAATTCGTAATCCCGGTATCGCAGACGTGTTTCACGGGAAACGCGTCGTCGATCCCTCGCGTCGACAGGGTGCTTCGCCTAAACGTCAATACGTATCGGTCCATCGAGACGGATTTCCCTCGTTCCGTTTTATTTTCTCCCTTACCGTGGAGCGTAGCGGATCGCGAGGGCCAAACGGACGGTGCTTTATCAGGCTGACGTACTTCTTGTCTCGGGAAATTCACGAACGATGAGCGCGCGTCGGTCTTCGGAGCAGCTGGCGTAAACGATGCCCGGGGAAAAGCGTCACGAGCCGATACGAGGGCCGCTTTTATATTCGTAGGAATAACGTACGTTACGAAGGTACCGATCGACGTACCGATCGAGAACGCCATATGGAAAAAATTATATCGAGACCCAGCCATCTTTTCTTCGCCAGCCGACTCTGCTCTCTGCCAGGGCAGCTCGGTCAAAGTCCGTCGAACGGCCGCCTTACGACTGTAATTCTTTCTTTCGTAACGCGTATTTCCTCGTTCGATAAGCTAATAATCTACGATTCAACGACTCTTTGCGATATCGTTACTCCTTCAGCCTTGACAAAAGCAGCGTGGACTTCTCGCGCGAAAAATAACACGTATGTCGTACTTGTTAAAAGTTCCCCACTCGAGGGAAAGACGGAGGCGCAAAGAGGTCTTGGATGTAAAGTTTCGTAGACGCGTAAAGTACCGTGAGGCCAGCTTGGCACCGCTAAATTTTCAAGCAACGTCCCAAGCAACGTTCTTCCGTTAACGTTTCCGTTGGCAAACGTTGGTAACGGAGATAGTCGTCGAAAGTTTATGAAAGAGATCGCGCGAAAGATCAGCTCGGTTTTGCTTTAATTCGCTGGAAAGTTCGTTACGTGTATGGTCGCGGTATGGAATATCTTGATCTCGTTTTCAAGGCGTTTTCAAGGCGTTTTCAAGGCGTTTTCAAGGCGTTTTCAAGGCGCCTGCTTTCCTGTGTCCCCGAGTTTGTTTCCCCGAGGAACCGTCGTTCAAGAGGAAAAAAAGGGGACGGTAATCTTACTCTCGTTGGTATAAATAAGAACGCGGCTCGCAACCCGTTTAAAAGCACTTGCTTCTATTTTAGCAATGGGACTCGTCTTTACGTTCGCGTATTTTTCCACGATTTTCACATCGTCGAATCTCCTAATTACGCCATCGTCGGTCAACGATCGTGCGGAAATTCCTTATCCGGCGAAAACTTGCGCCGTGCTCTATCTCGACGAGCGGAACAGCGAAAGTTGAAAAAGTCGTCGCTACGAGAGTTTGCCGATTACCTCTGTTCTAGAGTCGCAAGGATGCGCGTTATCAGGCCTTGTCGTTAGCGATCGCAACCAACTAGCCAGACAGGCTGAACCGAAAAAGTTTGAACGAAAGGGCAGGTCCGGTGACAGGGGCGTGGAATAAATAGAAAATGGGCCAAGCACGAGCAAACTTTCGCCACGCGTAATCGAATCGTTCGTGTGATTTCAGAGTCCCTGCCGGATGCTTTGGCGAACAATTGCGATAAGTGCAGCGAAAAGCAGAGAGAGGGCAGCGAGAAGGTGATCCGATTCCTGGTCAACAAGGTACGTTCACCGTCAGCCGCTAATCGAACGCAAACGCACCGGTCATCTGTCGCAGATGAGACACAGAGACGCGATATCGATTAGTCCTCGCTTCCGGATGTCGTAGAACCGGTTCCCCGTTCACCGAACGCCACAGTTTCGATCCTCGTATCCTCGCCAACGATCCACCGTTTCGGTCGTTCTCTATCCTGCGGGGATCTTGCGTTTCTTCGACCGATAATCGTCAACCCAGGCTCCGACTTTTCCGATTTTTCTTTTTTAAGCCGGTTAATTCGCTCCGCGTCCAACTTGGTCGCGTCCCATCGACCCCGAACTTTGCCCCCTTTGTGTATCTTCCTTCTTTCGTCGGTTCTCCGTGCATTTTTCCGCCGGTAACGTCGATACGATATCGTAATGGTGGGCGCTGTGCGCGTGATCGGGAATGGGCGGAGGCGGGTGAGTCGCGGATGTCGAAGGAAGAGTATAGCCGAGTAAGTTGCGAATCTCTCGTTGTCGACACTCTGATTACAGTTGGTCGCGAATGTTTAAAGAGTTGGTAGAAGGTGAGAAAGGAGCAGAGACTTTCGAAGAAAATATTTTCGGTCGAGCGGGAACGCTTCTGGTTTACGAGGGTCGACAACGAACGATTTAATTCTCGCGGCCTTATCTTTGTCGCTGACTTTTAATCCGACTTGCGAATGCCGTTCTTGTTTTTACGCTTCGTTAACAGAGTCTCGCGATCGATTAATTTCGTTAGAATAGAAGACGAATAGAAAAAGCAGCACGGTCGACGTACTTGAAAAATCCCCATGTCACGGTTACGCGTCCTCTATCCTTGTCCCTTTTGTCACGGCGGATGTATAGCGCGGGGCACTCCTCTTTCACCGCCTGCCGTTCCGTGTAACGTAACGCGCGCACTTCCGGTCGCTGAAATTACGCAGCTCCGAAATTGCAGAAACTCGACGTTTGTCGTTAAACGGAACTAATTAATTTTCGAACGAAACGATCTCGATGTTTGTGTTTCAGCGACCACAAATCTGGGAACGACTGTCGAAGAAGTACGACCCGACTGGCGAGTACAAGCTGAAATTCCAGGATCAGGCGCAACAACGTGGAATCGAATTACACTAAGCGGTTCGCGATGTAGAAGACGTGCAAGTAGCCTTCGAAGACGATTCGTCGACACCTCCATTGATAAATCGGCTACGCCGTTTCTTAAATTCTGTACTCGGTTAAAAGATTGCAAAATAAACGTTGCATTTGCGTAGAATCGGAAGAGAAAAAGCGAGCAGCCTCCGAGTAGAGGAATACCTTTCCACGCGAAAGCACGGCGAGTCCGATTCGTTGGTAGCCGCGAGACGAACGAGAAAATCCGAAGAGAGTGCGAATCTCGGAGGATTTGTTCGTTTGGTTGAAAAGACAAGCGCTTGGAAAACAAAGGAGAATTCGCCAGGCACGTCGCGCTTTTACGCAGCTCGCGCCTTTCGCATCGTTCCTCCCGTTTCAACCCCATTCCCTTCCATTCCCCTCGCGGTTCTGTCACGACCGATTGTTTCGCGTTCGAAATAATCAAGCCGCTTTCACGGTCGGCGAACGAAACGTAAACCGGCGGATTTAACGCGAAATTGGAAAAAAATTTATCCGATCGAACCGATCCAACGGAGATTCGTACGCGGTCTACGCGCTGTACGCGCTCGCTCCTTTTGCCGTTCGCACGAAAGTTTTCACGAAACCTACGTAGCGCCTGCCACGTTCCTTCTCGTTATCGAGAATTTCCCCTCTTTTCCCGTCGTTTTCCCCTCTTTTTCTCCGCCGTTCGAACATCGAATCGCGATTTTTCCACGAGACAACGACGGCCAACCGACGCTAACTTGGCCGCGAGTCGTAAACGCTCCGGCAACTTTACAATCGTCCGTGGAACTGGTCTGTAGAGGGAAAAGTGGGACGCGGCATCTCCACTTCCGTATGCACGAGACGAGCGACTCGTTTCTTCCAGATTCCGTCGCAATTTCGTTTCGAGTATGCGCGTCGTCCGTCCATTGTGCGTGTCGCGCGAAAGCATCTTGGTCGAAAGACGTCGACTGAAATAGGAGGACGTCGCGTCCTACGCAAAGTACGTAGTATATGTTTTGACGTTTCGGTTTTATTAAGCAATAAACTCGGTAAGAATACACACCTTATACGTTACACCGAGGTAAATCGCATAGAACGTAGATATACATTTTTCCAGCGAATTACTTTGTCGCTTAGTTTAACGTCGAACAACGATCGTTTATCTTGTCATTCAGCCCATAAAGCAACATCGATTTTCGACGTTCGTCGTCGATTTTTCCTTGGCGGAACCGGACGACCAGGCCTTCCGTTCCCGACCAAAGTTTCGTTCCGATCGCACACCTGGCCCCACCTACGTCCTTGTACGTTCAGTCGGAAGACGACACACGCTCGAGCGGTTCTTCGATAGTCGTGAAATTCCTGCGTCTTTTTGTCGGAGAAATTGAATTAACTCGGCCGTTATTAGCTCTCTCGTTGTCGGCTGGAATTTTTTCTCGAACTAACCGAAACGACCACTTACCGAGGTAGTTTCGGCTCGTTAGTTGGCGAACAAGCATCGTGAAAGTTACACGAAGGTGGAGAATCGAGCGGGGGGCGGAGTCGTGCGCGACGGCACGGTACCCGTTGAATATTTCAAGAAAAGCGGGAGGATCGCGATCGCGATCCCGATAAGGGATTTGTCCAAAGTACAAGTTCCGCGACGTTTGTACGGTAGTCACGGTTACCGATAATTTATTTGTAGCCGCGAACCGATAAATTCAGCCGGGATAGCGGGAAAAGTTTGCCGAGCCAAGTTTCGAGTCCGAAAACGCCGCCCTTGAGACCGTTCGCTTAATTTCCTGACGGTGTCCGGCCGCGAAATATGCGAGCCGCTATACACACGCCATAATTCTTTCACGACTTTGAAAACAATTTCTCGTTTGCATCGGTTTCCCCTTTCGGGGCCTTTGCCAAGCTTTCGAAAGGGCAAGGAATCGCGCCCTCTCCTCCTATCTTTCGCTCGTTTACGAACAGCCTGCCGATAAATTAATCGCACGCAGCAGCGATCGTCCCTTCTTTCGCCTTTCTTCCTCTTGAAACCTTCGTCTCCGATATTCCTCGCAAGCGTTACCTTCTTCTTCCACGTACCTGTTTCAATTTCCAGACCATCCGCTTCCGTTTCGACCAATTTTTCTCGCGACAAACTCGAACTGCACGGAACCAACAAAGGAATAAAACGGAACAAACAGCGAGCAACGGAGATTCAAAGTCGAACCGAGTTTACTCAGGCAGAAGGAATTATCAGGTTGCGATCGAGTTGCGCCGATTCGCAAATCTGGAATCGGATAATTATGTACTCGTTGATTTTCTCTCTCTCTCTCTCTCTCTCTCTCTCTGTTTCTCTCTCTCTCTCTGCGTCAAGTATCCGCCGTCAAAGAATCCGAGAGAATAATATTTTATTTATCGACATCTCGTTCCATTTCCGCTCTTTCCTCTCCACTCTCCTGTCATCCTGCATCTATTCTTTTCTCCTACTTTGTCGCATTGCCGCTTTTTAACGAGCTTCGCGTTTATTTTAATTAGACACTCGTCGAGTCTGCTGTCTTTCTTTGGCCGTTGGTTGCTTCGCGAGACAAAGCGACACCCGAACGGCAAACTGTGTTGTCGCAGAAGGTATCGAGGTTACGGACGATACAGCGGCAGAGAATCGGATCGACTGGCGCGAAATCACGCGCCTAGGTGAATTTTCGCAACGAATATTTAGACGAGCGAGCTTCCGTCTAGAGGACACGCGATCGATCCTCACGGGCCACGTTATCGCGAGTTAACGCAGGCTAACAGCCGGAAAATAAAATATTTGACAGTCGTGGAATGGGATTGCCGTGTAAGAGCAGGGTCGAGCTATTACGAAGAGAGTGGTGGAGATCCCGTAAATAGACCTACCCCTCTTCGTCTTGTCCAACCGGGGTAGGACACGACTTTTATTTCGGCCGCGAAGAACCGTTCGAATTTTCTTATCCTGCTACCGTGAAACATCGCTTGGGGGAAACTTTACTCGCGGTCGCCTTTGTTGGACCAGCAAAACTTCAAGAGTCTCGTGATAAATTAACCGCTCCTCCTTCCTCCCTTTCCCCCCTTTTTCCCTCCTCCATGTAGTATCTCTTTTTTCATCCTCTTTTCCCTTCTCCCTTTTTCCTTTTCCCTTTTCTCTTTTTTCCTCCTTTATTCGCATCCCCTTTGCCTTCGTTTTTACGCCTCTGCCCGGCACTCTTCGACTCCGTTAGCACCCTTCCTTTAACCGAGACGCTTCGGCTCGTTTCCAACCTGTACGACGGATTGCAAATCATTCCGAGTACTTAAAAGTTGGCAAAGTCGCTCAAACGAAGGCTAATGCGAATTTAACGAAGGTTGTACGAGCTGCAAGGCCGTTCGAAGACGTCGCAAGAAGCGAGTCGATTTTCGCTCGTAGAGCAGCCGGACAACTGCGCTTTACCGCGTTTTAGCCTCGAAAGCAACGACGACCGTAAGAACTTGGGTATAGTAGCGCGCTACACGATCGCCTAGGACAGCAATTTTTGCCGAAATCGATATTTGCAGAGTCATCCACGTGCTCGCAGTCCGTAGCAACTTGTACGATTAAATTGTTGGAAAGCTCGCCAGCCAGACAATCGAATCGACGTTCGTCTCTCCTCTCCATCGTCCGGCCCACTTCTCTTTTCCTCGCTTCTATCGATCCCTCTCATATTGAAATTAACGTTTCGACGAGCGAAAAGATGGTCGTATCTTTCGCGCATTTTTCACGTTACGTACATATGCACCACCGATATAGTTTGCGGTTGCTAGATATCGCCGATTTCGATTTCTTCGATTCTACTCGTAAACGGGTTCGTTGGCGAACCTGTCCGTTTTCCAATTCGCCGCCATTTCGCTGCAGCTGACGACAAAGCCGGTCGAAACCTCGAGATATCTAAGGCCAATGCTGACGCGTCTATCGAATAGCGTCTATCGCCGGCCTATCGCTAAACATCATCGTCGTAGCTGCGCGTTCATTTATTTATAGTGGTCTCGCGGTGAATACGACCGCTTCCCACGCTTTCTTTACCCTTCTTTGTCCACGCACCCACCTCCTCCCAGGTCTGTTTGTTCGAAATTTGTTGGCAGCCCAGCGTTAAGTATGGAAATGAATTACGAAACGAATTACGAAATTAGTATAGAACCGACTTAAACAGTCGATTTAAATGCGTGATTCCGACGAAAGAACCGACTCGACCGGATCCTCTCTGCCCCTTCGTACATGCTCCATTCTTCGAGAGGGCAAACACTGGCAGAGGAAACTTAAATCGAGTGGGAAACCTAGAATTCAATTTAGCTTCCTTCTTTCGTCCCTTCGTTCCACTGCTCTCTGTTACGTACACCGGGATCCGGCTGTCTGTCCGTGGGCCGAGAGAAAAGACAGAAGCGGTAAAAATAAAGGGAACGGCGAAAGAATCAAGCGGCAATTCGCTGGTCGCGTGGTCGATTCGTTCGGTCATAGAAAATGGATTACTTTCGGAGTCGGTGTTGCAACGATCTTTGCTCCAAGTTTATTTAGTTTGCTCCTTTTCAACAGGTAGGGAATTCATCGTCGTCGTCTCTTTTACCGATCTAAAGAGGTATCCCTTTAATTACCCGTGCACGCAGCGTCCGCCGTGTTCGGCGAACTGGCATACACCGGTCGCGCAACGCGAGATCACGTAGGGACGGACCGCGTCGAGAAATTGTCCAGAGCCGCGGAGGCCGATCCTTCGCCACGCGTAACGAGAAGTTACGTTTAGTTGGTTTCGAGCGCTCCCTAACGAAATTAGAGACCAGATTCGCCACTCCAGCCGAACGAATTCTCCTATCTAACTCGAATTTAAACGACCGCTTTAGAACGTTCGACAGCGGCGCGTGCTACGGCGATCGATCTTGCGTTTGCCATTGAAAAAGAACTTTCCACTACCCTTCCTGTTACTCATCGTCTCTACGTTGACTCGAACACCACCACCGATTATAGCCTGTAATCGTTTTCGCACTGCATCGAGACACGAGGTAAATTCGAATCGCGCGAGCAACGCAAGAGAGGACGCGAATTTCGGTCTCGCGGTCCTCCCGATGCCGCGATTCCCTGAAATTCGAGAATCTTTGCAAATACTCTCGATATCTCCTCCTCCCTGCCTTCACTGTCCGACAAGGTTCCCATTTCTCTCGACGCAGTTACGCGATCGCGCTCCTACAACGTGGCATCGGTACGTATACGACTCGCACGCATGCAACCGACTCGTACGAATCGTATCGGGAAGCCACGAGACTTCGATCGGTCGAGGATTTCTATTAATCCATGGGGAATCGGTGCCTTTTCCACAACTCTGTGATATTTCATCGTAACGCGTAGGAAATTGGCCAGTTTCCTCACTCGCACGAAGATTTATGGTTCCTAAACGACGAACAACTTTATGTCTACGAACACTCGACGGATCTACGGTTCGCGTACCTCGGGCTTGCAACTTGCCGCCAAGATCACTCCTATACGCTCTTTTCTTTTTACGCGTCACAGATTTTTCTTCTCGATAAAGAGACAAAGTAGCGGAATTTCGCGAACACGCAGCTCGAATTTCAACGTCTAGCGTAATAAATAATAAATAATAGATAACAGATATACGCGTATGCATATATATAATGTAAACTCGACATATATATACGCGTGCGTGTAGGTATATACGTGGACGTTCGCAACACTCGGCTAGCAGGTTAACGCGTTTGCTCGCACGTGTTCTCACGTATCCTCGTTACGGCCCGGCCAGGTAGCCGAATAACGTACGCCTGCCTTCCTCGCGGTACGATCGTTGCCGCTTGACAGCCTAATTTCGCTAATTAGATATTTAACGTCGTGCATCGAGGCGATTGATTCCGGCTATGTTGCCTTTGTAAACGCAGATTTCGTGGCTGTAGCTCGTTCCTTCGGAAACGATGATTTCTCGACGCTGTCGGTGTTTGCTTTGCACGAAAGAGCTGGAAATTACGCGAAATAACGTTGATGAAATTTGCCTAAGACGCACAGCGAGAAAGCTGGCTCGCGCTGCCACTTAAATTACGCTAGTAAGCGGATGGAAATCGCACAGGCCAGCTTCTCGCTCGTGTTACAGAAATTTGCCGATCGAATTTTACCAGCACTCGTACACTTCGATCAAAGACGCGTCAGCTCGAAGGTTTTCCAAGAGATTGGGACGCTGCAACGTCGAGCGTTCGGACGACAAGCAGCGGCAAACAGGCGAATTGCGAGGCGAACTCGCAACCCCGTGTCCGCGGCAGATTGCCACGAGAGGTGGCGGCTCGTGCCGAGTCATGGAATATCCACCCTCGCGATTCGCGTAAACGAATAAACGTCGACGAGAAACCATTTTGCAAAATTTATAGATACGCGATGGAATACGCGATGGAATACGCGCCGGAAAATACCTCGAAGAGCGCAACGTCAAGGGAGGTAGTCGAACGTCGAGCGTTTTAGTTACTTGCTACCGCGTTCTAGTTACCTAGCCGTGTCGCGTGTAAGGTCGGTCGACCTTACGGAACCTACGGGAATGTGATCGAAGGCAGCGCTACAAACGAAAGATACGAGAAGAAGGGGACAAAAGACGAAAAGGTCGATTTTCGAGCGTATTGTTTCCCCTGATGCCGTTCGCTGTCGGATCGCCTACGGCTACGTATGGTCGCTAGATCGAAGGCTTATCGTTAGTCGCGGCGCCTGGCAGGATCCTCTCTCGAAATTAGACATCGGGACAGTCGGTTGTCTCGCCCGATTCCCTCTGCTGTCAACGTTGCAAATCCTCCCTCATCTTCTTTCCCTCCGCTTTCCTTGTCTCTCGATCTCGAGGTGTGACCCGGATACCGATTCCTCGATTGCTTTGCCGGCAAATTCTGCCCTTGCTCTCTTTCTTTTTCTTCGTCCGTGTCATCGGAAACCAGACGATCGAGACGAGACGCGACGTTTTCGTCTCGGGGACGACTTTTTGCCCTGGCGAAAGGAGACTTTGCAGTATCGGAAAACGGGACAGAGTATGGCGGTCGCGCATTCGCCTTTATCGGCAACCAGCCACAAGTAAATCCCGGAAAATTAGCGTCCCGCGGTTCCTCCTCGTTTGTTGCTTTTCCATCGTCCAGACAAACGACGTTTCCTAGTTAAACTGGATTCCTGCCTTTGCTCGAACCTGCGACGCGTCCATCGTGCACACGAGTACGTTTGTTCGCTCGTCCGCCGGCGTTCTAAACACCGTTTTCAGAATTTCTCGATTTACCAACGAGATATCACGAGTTACCAACGAGTTTTTCCATGTGAAACGGCGCAGGCGATCGCGGTTCTTTCGTTGAAAATGGATTGCGCCGCGTCTTTGTCTCGCGCGGTTCCGCCAATTCGCACGAAGGAGAAACCGAGTTTCTCGCGACAAATCGACCAACGAACTGGCCGTTTGCGAAAATATCCATTTCGTCCGACGGATAAATTTCCGACAACCGGATAAATTCCGAAATAAATTCGAAACAGCGAACGCGCCGGTTAACGCGACGCCCAGTTACCAGCTAGTCTGGTTTCCTCGAAATACATGTGCCTTCTATTCATGCCCGTAGCGTCGCGCCATTCTCCAAGATGGAACGACCATCTCGGGTTCGCGGACGATCGAAACGATAGAGCGTCGTTTGATTTCGCTTCAGCTCGTTCCATCATCCGCTTCCTTATTTTAGAACCAAGTTCGCTTCACCAGCTTTGCCTAAGCTTCGAACCATCTTTTGCTTTGCCTTTCCCAACTGTACCTTCTCTCTGGTCGACTTTTATGGCCATTTTTTCAGCAAATTCTTGACAACTTTGACCACATTAACGAGCATATTGCGTAGAAACGTCTGAAAATACGGAGCAAGAACGCTTTGTACCGAGCACAATTATCTTCGATCTCCGAGAAATACATCCGAATATGAAACTAGCCTTTGGAGATTCGTTCTCTCATTCCGTTTAATCGTTTCCAGACAGACGCGTAACTTGGCTATCGCAAGTTCTTCGAGATCGTCGAATCCCTTGCTGAACGTTGACGAACGTTTCGAAACGCCAATTTCTACGCGTTTCGACGAAATCTAAATCCGTCCGTTACGCCCGTTAGACGATAGACAATTTCGTATCCGCGTGCCTGGCTGGCGTCGATGCCGCGTTTCTTTCAAAGAACGAAAATTTCGTCGCACCGGCGCGTTTCTCAGCGTCGACTGGGAAAAAGGCTTTTCAGCTAGTCAGAGCGACGAGGCACGCGTCGCGACGAGTCGGAGCGGAGAGACACAGAACGGATCCTCCCTTTGACCGATCTCCCACGTTCGAGCGCGGACGATGAATCGGAATAAGAATTTCTCATCTGCGGCGAGTAATTTCGCGCTGCCCGTGGGCGAATTGAAAAGTTTTAATACCGCGTGTCCCTCCAAGGGAAAGAATAAGAAAATAAAGCGCCGAGGGGTGATGATAAAGAGGGGAAAGGGGAGTGCGTGTATACGAAGTCCAAGTTGGTTATTTTGTTTAGTCGAGTAGTCGGTGAAAAGCAATTCGAACGAGGATTTCAGTCCCCGAAGCACGCTCGTTTCTCGTAATCGAATAACCAAGTCAAAGCGCGAGTCGCGGAATTAATTTCAAAAGTTGCGCGGATTAACCAAGTTTGTAAAACAACTAGTTATATACGTAATAGCTACTTCATTTTCGCGTTCTCCGTTGTTATCCCGAGCTACCTGTCCTTTCGTTTATCCGTAAGTTTCGCGCTAACTCGCGCCAGACACCTGTATTATCTGCGTGAATTACTGCTCGATCCGAAGCCGATTAAACGCACCGCCGGCATAATTTTCCTGGTTAGTAGCGAACCGTTACTTGGCCGACGAATTTCCTAGGTCGCAACGAACTTGTTCCGTCCGGGCAATTGCTCTGCCCCTAACGCCCTACGATTGATACCGGTTGTTACCGCGAGAACCAAGTTTCGTATCGCGAACGCGTAATCGATGTATGTATACAACCGAAGACGCATTAGCGAAACCCCGACCGTTCGTTCCCTAACCGTCTAGTCGTGACTTCTAACGGCGTCGTTGTCCGTGTTTCCTTCTACCCGGCCGATCCTACAAGATGATAAATCTCCTTCTACGATGCCCTTAGCGGATTGTCCGATTTCACGGTCTACGGATAGGCGAAAGAATCGCGCAAACGGTCATTTAGCGTACGTTTATTTAAAAGTCGAGTCTCGCGTTTGACAACTTCTACGGAGGGAACTGACACGGCAAATGCGCGGAAAAATATGACGTTTCTCGAACGGAATGGCGACGGATAAAAGACGAGGGTAGGAATAAAGACTGGGAAGAGAGTGGAAAAAAAAAGACGAGGAACGAAGAAAGGTTCGGAGAAACGCGCGGGGACGAGAAGGGAGCGGACGCGACTGCTTAATTTAACGACAATGAATTCGTTGTCCCGACGCGAATGTCTCGAGCGGGGAATAAAGTCGAGTTTCGTTCCGGCTCCGTAAACCGCCGCTGTCCTCCGGACTTTTCCTTTATAATCGCATTGCCCGTCGGGCTTTATCCGTGAAGGAGCGGTGCACACGCGGCTGCCT